TTCTAAAACATAAGTTGTAAACAAAGCTAGTGCATTTGGGTTGTATGTATATTAGTTGTATTGTATCAGGTGCAAATAGAACTTTATAGTGCCCTTAATTTGAGGTTGTGGATGGCTCAGGGAGCTCTGGGGTGCAGTAAAGTGCTCAGCTTCTAACCAACAGGTCAGAGGTTTGAACCTAACAGCCCCTCGGGGGAAGAAAAGTGTAGCGGTCTGCTTCTGCAAAGATGGTTTTGTTCTGTCCTGTAGGGTCACGGTGGGTTGGAATCCACTCAGTGGCAGTAGTTTTGATTTGATTCGGTTTCAGGAACTCTGTACATGTGACAAAGGTGGATGGTGAATAGATGTGTCAAGATGGCTTTGGCCAGCAGTTCTCAACCTGTGGGTCACGACCACTTTGGGGTCTGCCCGATCCATAACAGTAGCAAAATTACAGCGATGAAGTAGCAACGAAAATAATTCTATGGTTGGGTGAGGGGGTCACCACACCATGAGGAACTGTATTAAAGGGTCGCTGCATGAGGAAGGTTGAGAACCACTCGCAGGCCATCTCAGTATTATGTGATTATTCTCTATTTTGAGATGTGATGGAAAGGGAGCTTTCTTGGGGAAGCTTGTGACCTTCATCCAGTATATATAGGTGTTCTGGCAAAGCTCTCTCTCTCAATCCTGCACCCATCTAGACATCAACAGGACCTCTGGTTCTTGGGATTTGAGCCAGCAGCCTGCCGGTTGGCTTACAGCTTTTGGGATTTGCTGGTTCCTGCAGCTCGTGAAGCAGTAGCCTGCCGCCTGGCATGCTGGTTTTGCATTTGTTCGCCCCTGAAACTGAGGAAATCACAAGTCTCCAGTCTGATGCCTGACTCATGGGTTTGGGACTCGCCAGCTTCCACACCTGCATGAATATCTATATCTATATCTGTACCTGTACCTGTGTCTGTGTCTATGTTTATGTCTATATCTATATCTATGTATATGTACATACACCTCACAGGTCTTGTTCCTCTACAGCCCAATCCAAGATAAACCTGTATAAATTAGGTGCAGTTCCTCTCTAACATCAGTTAGTCAAATGTTTGCTCTAGTATACAGACTATGGTATAACTTTCTATGTACAAAAACATTAAAGAAACACTTCCAGGGACAATAAAACATACTTTACATAATCCAAAGGACCCAAACCACTGCCATCAAGTCAATGCTGACTCATTGTGGCTCAATATGCTAAGCCTTTACAGGAGCAGGTAGCCTCAGACAGTAATAATAAGATTTTGATGTGCATCACAAAGTTGCACTGATTTTTAAAATTTTGAACCATTGTATATGCCTTGGATTTTGAACATTTATGAAGTTGGCATGTTTGTATATAAATTGGGCACTCAGAACTGAGGGACTGCCTGCGTGGAATGACACGTGTGAATTACGGTGCTGGTGAGGGATGCAGGACAACAAACAGATCTGTCTAGGAAAAAAGGACAGTCAGAATACACCTTAGAGATGGCGATGGTGAGACTTTCCCTCACATACTGGATATGCTACCAGGAGAGCTCAATCTCCCTGGAAAGGGACATCCTGCTTGGTGAAGGAGAAGGCCAATAAAACGGAGGAAGGCCCTCAGCAAACTTGGTTGAGGCAGTGGCCGTCATGAGGGGCTCAGATAGCGTAGCCATTGAGAAGATGGTGCCGGGTGGGCAATGCTTTGTTCTCTTGTATCGAAGGTGGTTAGGGCTCAGAACCAACTCGGTGGCACTTCACAATAACAGCGTCAACATGTCCCCCTTCAGCCTCTCTTTGTGTCCTGGGGAGGCCAGAGGCTGTTATCCTGGTCAAGGATTCTTTACAAAAAGGTCTTGGGGGCCTCTTTGGGTCCTTAGCTACAAGTAAGGCCTAGATTTACTTTTAAAATAACATTTGATATATGAATTTCAGAAACTCTTGTTAGCCTGGAGCATTTGCTCAATTCCAAGAGGGCAAGCCACCAGAATTCTGTCAATAAGTACTTTTGAATCCATGATATTTTGATGCTAAGACTTCGATGTGGCTGTTTTGACTCAGTGCTGCAGGGTCCTTTTCATGATGCCCCCAAACCACACAACATGCTTGCGCGATGAAGAAACATGTACGAGAAGTATCCAATCACATCGCTGAGTCGGGTGTGTACATTTAAGTAATTTTTTGTGTGTTTTCACTTTGACGTGGCTGTTTCAGTGCCTGACTCTTTGACATCATCACAATGGCCTTACCAGGATGTTTGCTTTATATACTTGTTAGTCTCACCTGCATGGCAGAATAGGTGTGATTCTAATTTATAATTTAAATAGCAAAAGGATTCAAACAAAGCAGAAGGTGAAGAGATTACAGTCTGTGTGCATCTGGGTACTTTAGAGAAATAAATCCAGAGAAACTCATGTATAAGAGAGAGTTTTATATAAAGGTTAGGTGCGATCAGGAAAATATCCCAACCCAGTGCTGCCCAAGCCCACACGTCCAACATTAACCCATCTGTCCAACACCAATCCACAAAGTCCTCCTCCATCTCACAAAACAGACGCAACGATGCTGACTGCAGGAGGAAAGCTGAGTCAGTGAATGTGTAAGCATCTCAGCGCTAGCTGGGGTCTCCACACAGCTGCTCCAGCACCCAGGGCTGCATCGGGGTAGGTCCACGTGGGGATGTCTTGCAGGAAGTGAGCCTTGCCAGCTGAAGCAGGAACTGGCTAAGGCCACTGCACCCTGGTCCGACCATCACAAAGCAAGAGATCCAAGAACTAAGAAGGCGAGGCTTACGGAGCCATTTATCCCTCCACCCTTCAATTAACCCCACATGTGTTTTTTGGCCAGGTTGGCACAATAAACTAACTACCTTAAAGGGTTTTCTAGAATTTTGCCACTGGATGGCCAAGGGAACACATTCACCGTGTCAGAAGGCGTACATCTCCATTCATGGGGTAGAGCTTCATTACAACCTTGAGAAATTTGTGTTACATTTTAGTGAAAGTATACAACCAAGCATTCATCCCCTGGTCACGCTCTGTGTCAGCAATTCCATAACACTGGTCACCTGGCTCATGTGGTGTTGCCATTCTTGCTGTTTCTATCGGTATAATGTCGCCAAGCAACGTGTCATGTTCTTTCTTGACGGTGTCCGCCATGGCCATTGATGGTCCATAGAAGGCGTCACGTTTGACCTCAGTCTGCTTTCTGCTTAGGGCGATGCTTGTGGGTCCACTCGGGAGGATAGTTGTGTTCTTTACGTCGCGGTGTCATCCCTATGGAAGGTTGTCATCTTGCAGTTTCCATCATTGAGTTCCTCAGGCCCTCTCCACGTTCAGTAAGGAAGGTTGTGTCATATTGCAAGTTGTTATTGTCCCCCCCACTCTGATGCCCCGGTCTTCATATAGTCCAGTTCCTCAAAGCACTGATCAGCAGGCAGCTTGAATAAGGATGGTGAAAGGATAGAGCCCTGGAATACACTTTTTCTGGTGGGAAACTATGCAGCATTCCCTTATTCTGATCAATGACTGCTTCTTGGTCTGGGGACAGGTTCTGCATGGGCACAATGAAATGTTTTCCAGTTCCTACTCTTCGATGTGTTATCCATGATTTGTTATGATCTACACAGTGAATACCTTTGTGTAGCCCAGGGTATGGCTGACACACCTGCCGACCATGGAAGGCACTGTTATTTATTCAGAGATTGTGTCCGTCTACTTCCCAGGTGTCAGACGTTTTCTTCTTCCTCGTTTCTTTTATGAAATGATGGAGATTGGAAAAGGCAACCAACAAGACATCTCAAAGTAAAAAGAAAAAACACATTTCCGAAATTAGTCCCTGGGGATGCAGGTGGTTTTGTCCTTGGATTCTTGCACTGCATGAGGAACAACCAAGGTGAATGCCCAGCCGAGGCCCCTGCAACGTAACCACCCCTGGCTGTCGGTGGTGCTTGCTGTGTGGCTGTGCTGCTGACTGAGTTTTAACAGAGCTTCCCGACTGAGACAGACTAGAAAGAAAATCCTGATCTAATGCTGAAAATTAGCCAATAAAAAAAGTATGTGTCACCAAAGTCGGGTTTGTAATGGACTCTGGGAATGCCAGGACCAGGCAGCATGTCCTTGTGTTGTAGGTGGGCTCCCTGTACGTTGCGGACCAACACAACATCAACTGGCAATAGGAATAAATCCCAAGCCTGTATTTCTATCTTCCTGACCCATGAAACATCAAAGGTAGAAACTGTGGCTTTGAACCCACTCAATCCCCACCCCCAGGGCTCTCTTGGGCCACTTCCTAGCACACTTTGGGTTCATCTTGGGATTCATCGGGAGAAGGGCTGCATTTGTCATTGAAAACAGATCAAAACGCTCTCACTCTCTAAAGTTATGATCCTTGGATTCTAAGTGGTTTCTGATTCTCAGCAGCTTCGTAAACGCTTGATTAAGGTACCGCCTTTTAAAAACCCACAGTAAAGTGGTTTGTTTTGTTTTTAACTAGATACATCACTTCTTTCAGAAAAGGAGTCAATCTGGGGCCATCACTCCTTGTGCCTTTTACACATCCGGGAAATCTTCTGACCTTGGATCATTCAAAACTCATCTTTATGTGTCATCTCTCCCACCCCCAGCCCCCAGCAAACAGCAGTTTAGAGTGGTAGGGAAAGGGAGGTTTCCGAGCCAGCTCTCCCTGAGTGTGGGTCTCCGTTGCTGTGGAGCATTCTGGCCGTGGGCCAGTGGCTGCTTCCCTTTCAGCGTTCCTGCGGTGGGTAACTCTTGGGAAAGCCCTACCCCAGGCGTGGTTTTCCTTGAGGTACCGTGAGGACCTGATGCTCATGGCTGTGAAAGCACCAGGCCCCAAATGCCCAGTGTGCCCCAGGCCCCACGTAACTGTTTAGTTTCCCTCGACGCCTTCCAGACTCCCCGCTGGGCTCCAGGAAGTCCGGCTTCTCCTACCAGAGCCCTTGGGTTGGGAAGGCGCTCTCTCTAATTACGGCTTTGCTTCTGTTTTAGTGCCAACAATATGCCCAAGCAGGTGGAAGTGCGAATGCACGACAGCCACCTGATCTCTGAGGAGCCCAAGCACCGGAACCTGTGTCTGCGCTTGTGCGACAAGCTGGGGAAGAACCTGCTGCTCACGCTGACGGTGTTTGGTACGTGCCCGCTGTCTGGTCCCCTCTGTTCTCGGGGCCTCTCTTGGCTGTGGGAAGCAAGGCATTTCACTGCAAAGGGAGCCATGTGCATAAGCCCTCATTTGTGCCTCAGTGGCATCCTCTTTCTCCTCACGTGCCCCGGCCTTTTATATTCCTTCTTTGAGTGCTGTTGGTTCTCAGATTGTGATAAACTTGTAGCATGCAAACGCCCGAGCCGGACATTCTGCGGTGGGCCAGCGGGAAGGAGGCCCTAGACTCTGTATCTTCACGAAGGTTCTAGGTGATTCCAGGGCAGATGATGAGCCCACCCCATGGAGGTAAATATCTGTATTCAGGAGAAAGGCAACCATGGCGGGAAATTCTGTTTTTAGAAGGCACCCAGTTCACCTGCTGTGAACTTCCATCCATCTAGCACATCAGTTAAGGAGGTCAGTGTGGAATTGGCTTGTCTTGGTCACTTGGCCTGCCCCTGCCCCGTCTTGCATGTTTTCAGTCCTTCCGTTAGACGTCCGCCAGGCTGGGGATGTTCTTTCTCATGGCCTGTTGGTAACAGCTGGGGCTTAAGTCTTAAACCAGTGTTTCATGAACAGGGAGCAAATGACATTTGCTTGTCATGACAACCACTCTCTCTCCCGTCTCAATCCCTCTCTTGTTACGTGGCGCTCACTTAGGCCCTACAGAAATAATGAGCAATTCATTCCCCTACCCTACCCCACCCCTGCACATCCCCTCAGTCTGTGCCCTCTCCTATCGGCCCATCATCTTGCGTGCTTGTGGACCAGGAACTTGCCCGGCTCATTTCACTTAATTAAAAGAAAACCACAGACTCGGGTAGGGTTTTCCAAGGGTTAGCCCACTACGTAAATGGATTTCATTCATCATCGATCTGGAGAATTTGGAGTTCGTTTTTGAGCTGTAAAAGGAAAACACAACAAAGCACACAAATCCCTCTACATCCCCGGATTAACACCATGATCTGTATCACCCAGGAATTCCCCCTCACTCACAGCCCATGGTCCTATGACCTGACTTGTGGTTTCCACGTGGGTCCCTTATGCTGGCCACCCATTTAGAGAGACTTGAAGGGTTTTTTGTGGTGTCTTTGAGTGTGCAAAACAAAAGACTCTTGCCAGCATCTCTGCCCAAGTGGTGTATTTTGAGAGATTCTCATTGATCTCTTCTAGGACCAGCAAAGCTTAAGGGTGTATGAAAGGGCAGGGGCCTTAAGGACAAAGTTTACTGAGAAAGAGCCATGGGGGAAACGATAGGAATTCAAAGAAAATAGATGAAAAAAGGAACTCACTAGCGTGATCACTCAAATGTTTGGGGGGTTTGTTTTTTAAATCTGGCATCCAGTTGACAAAGGAAGGCACCCGGAGACACCGTGCCATGTGGCCAGCCCGCGGCAGGGAGGAGGAACGAAGTCTGTGGGCATTTGTGCTGGCGGTCAATCAATCACTGATCATCCTTGCGATTCTGCAAGTGGACAGTACTTCTCATGATGCTCTGAAAAGGCTCGACTCTTTCAGAATGTTCTCTCTCTGGTCACTAAAATCAGCATATGCAATGGCATTTTTGTTGCACCTTATTCTTCAGCTGGTGTTAGAGAAAAAGACCAATGTCATTGAAAGAGTTCCCCAGAGCGATTGATTCATTTGACTATGGAAAATATAAACAGATATATTTGTCTATGTTTTCTCCCTTATAGGTGTCATCCTGGGGGCACTATGTGGCGGGCTTCTTCGTTTGGCGTCTCCGATCCACCCTGATGTGGTTATGTTAATAGCCTTCCCAGGGGATATACTCATGAGGATGCTAAAAATGCTCATTCTCCCCCTAATCATCTCCAGCTTAATCACAGGTAAGACCATCTCACGGGAAACCCAGCCATAGGGGGTCATACACTAGCTTTGGCTTTTAGATTAAGCATATAAACCTCGATTTACTTGAAAGGGAAACTTATCTTCGTTACCTGATTCGATGGGGAAGGAAGTGGACGTTGAAAATAAAAGTGAGATCTGAAAGTAGCCTTATGCGTCAAGCATCATGTTCACCTGTTCTTGAGAGAAATATTTATTTTATTTGAAAGAGTTTGTTTCCTTCCATGAGCTGACAGTGGTCGTCTCTTCCTCAGCAGCTGATATTATGTAATGGGTTTCTTAATTTGGTGTGATTTTAACACTAAGCTCTGAGGTAAGGGCGGGAAGCTGGACTTCAGCATTGAGCTAGGTGACGTCAGAAAAGTGACCGATGACCTTATGAAGGAGGTGAGGCTGCAGGCTCCAAGAGACTCCCATACCGAGTCAGATTGTTCAACAAGCTCATAGCAGGGAGACCAGTAGCCTCAGGGACCAGACAGAGCCAAGGGGTCTCCAGTTTCGGGAACTCAGGAACTGAGCAGAAGTTCATCATTCCACCCCGGATTGAGGGAGGCCATGCTTCCTTCTCCCGTGTCCCTCCTCTCTGAACAGATTGTACACCGGCCAACCTGGAAAGGAAACCCAGCTGCCGTTCACCTAGACTTAGCCTTTAGGTCAGTGGTTCTCAACCTTCCTCATGCTGCGACCCTTTAACACAATTCCTCATGTGGTGGTGACTCTCAGCCATATAATTATTTTTGTTGCTACTTCATAACTATAATTTTTCTACTGTTATGAATTGGGCGACTCCTGGGAAAGGGTTGTTCAACCCCCAAAGGGGTGGAGACCCACAGGTTGAGAACTGCTGCTTGAAGTGGTAAGAGGAGTGGGCCTTGTCAGCTCAATTCAGAAAACTTGCTATTGATGACTTCTCCTCCATCGCAGAAAGAACTGATTCTCGGTAAAGAGTTCAAGCTCACGCTATGAGAAGCAGAAATGGAAACCAGGAAATTGAAACATTCAAGTGGGGGGAAACCCAATGGAGGCTGGAGTTTTTGTGACTTGCTTGGAATTTCCTCCAAGAATCATAGAACACTCCTCCCCACCCTCCCACACGCTATAGATGAGGTGCCCACCTTTGGCTGGGTGCTTTACATACGTGCCCTCCAACCCCTCCAAGAGGTCAGGGAATGGGGTCTTTGCCATGCATTGGAGTGACCTGGGAGGCCTGTTGTGCTCAATCACCATCCTCAGACTTCCAAATTTCACCTTCACAACCAAACGCCCTGGCATCAGGTCGGTGCCCACTCATAGCCACTCTACAGGTCAGGGCAGAACTGTCCCTGTGAGTTTCTGAGACCGTCACTCTTCATGGGAGTAGAAAGCCCCATCCTCCCGAGTGGCTGGAGATTTCCAACTCCTGGGTGGCGTTTAGCAGCCCAGCGTGTAACCACTGCGCCACCAGGATTTCCACCACCCGTGACAGAATCAAACGTTTTGACATGACAGAGCCGTCAGCGTTTTATTGTCTAACGTGAGGGCATTGATAAATCGCAAAGAGCTCAGACAAACAAAAACTAGCACATACTAACACCATCTCTTCATAAACGAAAGGGTGCCCTAACCCCCCAAACGGAGAGCACGTAATCTCAGAATTTAAAATGAAATAGATCCAATTTCATTTTAGCTCACTGTCGCACATTAACAGGAGCTCTGGCGGTGTGGTGGGTTATGTGCTGGGCTTCTGACTGCAACATCAGCAGCTCAAAACCACTAGGCGCTCTGAGGGAGAAAGAGGAGGCTGTCTACTCGCCTAAAGAATTGCAGCCTTGGAAACGCACAGGGCAGTTCTCCCCTGCCCTACAGGGTGGAAATGAACGGGAAGCAGCATGACGACCGTGAAGTCCGAGTGTGGACGGCACAATAACCAAAGCTGTCACGGACCAGTTTGTGATCTAGGATCCTCCCTACCTGCCTCGGCTCCCTAAAGTTTCAAAATGTCCTTAGAAAATAGGGTTGTAAACTGTGGGATTGATTACGTCTTCAAACACTAATGAACATATGGATAATTAGTGGAATAGTACTATGATTGACCCTTCTGAATTTCCTTTCGATCCAGGCTTGTCAGGCCTAGACGCTAAAGCCAGTGGCCGCTTGGGGACGAGGGCCATGGTGTACTACATGTCCACAACCATCATCGCCGCCGTGCTGGGGGTCATCCTCGTCTTGGCCATCCACCCAGGGAACCCCAAACTCAAGAAGCAGCTGGGGCCTGGGACGAAGAACGATGAAGTGTCCAGCCTGGATGCCTTCTTGGACCTAATTAGAAATCTCTTCCCTGAAAACCTGGTCCAAGCCTGTTTTCAGCAGGTAATCCCAAGCCTGATGCTCCTACCTAGTTATCAAGACGGTAACATAGAGATTATTTGGATGGGTGAGTTGGTTCCTAATGTTTACTAATCTCTTGTATAAATCACAGAAGCAGAAACCCCCAACTCCCTTGTCGATGCATCCATTTTGGCTCATAGAGACCCTGTAGGTTCCAAGACTATAAATATTTATGGAAGCAGACTTCCACATCTTTCTCCTATGGAGTGGCTGATGGGTTTGAACTGCCAACCTTGGCATTAGCAGCTGAGTGCTTAGCCACCATGCCATTGTGGCTCTTTGTACTTTGTCTGGCCAGATGTTTATGAGGAAGTTGGAATAAGACCTTGGGATTGGAGTAGCTTCGGCTTTTTGAAAATACCTCCTCTCTTCTTAATTTCAGGTCCCTTTCTGTCTCTTTGATCTGGGGTTCCCTGTCTCCCTTTTGTCTTTTACCTCCCCATCTTTTCCCCCCTTGTTCCTGTGTCTTTCAAGACACATGTCAATCACCCATGCACACAACCCTCAACACCCAGCAGGTTGTGCATCTCAGTCGCCTCGTGTGGCATGTTTTACAAACACGCATGACCTGCAGAATCAGAAGCACCAAGATTCTGGGGCTTGGGTGTTTTTTAATTTGTGGAAGAAACGCATACAGATTGTGACGAGTTTAAATCAGATGTTGTAATGGCTCTAATGTTGGCGCCAATATGTGGCACCCTTGTTGTACAACGGAATGAAGCGTTACTCAGACCCATGCTGTCCTGGTGCTCATCTGCGTGTTTGTTCAGCCAGAGACAATTCTGTCTTGATCCAGGGTTTCCAGGTGTACATAGCCAGGCCTTTCTTCCTCAGCTCACCTAGTTGGGAAGCTCCCGTGGAATCTGCCCCCTTTGGGTGACTTTGCTGGTATTTAAAGTAGAGGTGGCACAGCACCTAGCATCACAGCAACGTGCAAACTACCAAAGCAAGATTAGCAAACAGACAGGTAGTGGTTGAATTGTATAGAAGTGTCTAAAATACAAATTACAAGTCCCCACTCCCCTTCCCTAGAGCTACGCACGTTGAGAATTTTGCTCCTTCCCCTATAGTTCTGTCTACGTAGACATACACAGGTGTATTATGTGTGGCTTTTAAAATCTTCAGTCCAAATGGTGCTGCGCTAGGCATTCTGCTCCCTTTGCTGTTTCTCAAAGAGTGTGCCCGAGCCCTCACTGCCCTTTCCCGTCTCCGCATTTCACCATATGCATTACCGATAGCTTCCAAGAAGGGAACGGTTTCTTTCTCACATTTTATTTATTTATTTTTTTAATCATTTTATTAGGGGCTCCTACAACTCTTATCACAATCCATACATACATCAATTGTGTAAAGCGCATTTGTACATGCATTGCCCGAAGGAAACATTTTTATGCCAAAGAGTTTTATATTTCAAATTTGGCAGATGCTGCAAAAATGACCCTATGGAAATTTGTAACCAGGTACACATTCACCAACTGTCTACAAGCATGGGCATTAAATAAAAAACAAACCTTTGTTAAAAATAAACAAACAACCAGTGGTAGTTCTGCTGGCTGGAACTACCGAGTTAGCTGCTGAGGCCCCACTCCCAGCCGGTTAGAACAGTGGAGGTTAGAATGCCCTCAGGTCCCATGACCCCAGGTGGGAAATGCAGCTCAGACCCAACAGGCAAGTGGCTGCTTGCAGTCGTTTCCAGAGAAGAAGGGAAGTGGGATACCGGAGGAAGCGTTGGCTGTGTTTCAAGATGCCCCCAAGACACAATAGCTCACCGCTGCTGAGTCCAAACGCCCTGGGCTGGCTGTGTGCTCCAGGACAAGCCCCATGGTGGTGGCCCTTGTAGCACGGAGTCATCGTGTGTGTGTGTGTGTGTGTGTGTGTGTGTGTGTGTGTGTGTGTGTGTGTGGCTTGCCTACCCCGGAGACGACCTGCTTAGGGACAAGCACGACTAGATGTCGATTCTTAGCCCTTTGGAAGGCGTGTTGTGGAACAGAGGACTGGGAGCATCCGAGGCCTAAGGGAGGACATGGCCCGTGACAGCCGTGCTGCCTGCAAGAAGGGGTGCCCGTGGGCGAAACCTGAAAGCAGACGGGTACTCGGAGCGGGTGCTCTGGTCTTGTTGTTAGCCGCCGGAAGATCCAGTGGACAACAGAGGGGGACACCGCCTGGTCCTGCATCATCCTTGCACTTGCTCCTGTGTCTGGGCCCTTTGTGGAGGCACTGTGTCAGTCCATCTTGTGAAGGGTCTTCCTCTTTTTAGTCCCCCTCTACCTACCAAGCAGGCCGTCCTTCTCCAGGGATTGGTCTCTCCTGAGCACATGTTCAAAGTACTTAGGAAGCCATCCTTGCCTCTTCAGGAGCCTTCTGGCTGTACTTCTGGCCTTGGTGGGGCGTTCTTGTGGTCTTGGCTCTACTCACCTGTAGCAACTGCTCTGTGGACACCGTCTCTGACAATGTCATGGAAAACTGACCCACTTCTTTCTCTCTCCCCATAGCCTTACCTTTCCACTGTCACGTGTTTGTGAGGACCGAGCACTGTCCCTTTGGATTAAGATAATAAAAAAAAAAAGTATTTTAAAATTCCTTACCCCAAAGTGAAGGTGGAGGTCAGTCCTTCAGGCTGACACCGGGGATCCCAGAAGAAAAAGGTCTTAAACTTGAGCAGCCCATGGGCTGGAGGAGGTGCAGCTCCTACATAGTGTGACGTCGCATCACCAGAGCGCAAGAGCAGGGGAGAGGTGCCCTCTGTGACACGAAGTTCAGCTGAATTTAAACCATCTCCCGACGAGGGAGGCGCTTCCTGGCCAAGGTTAGACACGGACGTAAACAAGAAGGTATGCGGAGGCTGGCCTACCCTCAGTGACAGGCTCGGTTGAGGTTGGGCCCTGGTATCTCTGATGTTTGCAGCTTAGGGCTGACTGAACCAAGACCTGTTTTCCAAGAGAGTGTCTAAGAGATGCGGCCTCCGAACATTTACTCCGACCTCATGGATAGTGACCTCTTGGGCTCACTGCTCCCAAGGAGTTCAACATCTACTTATCCATCCAATACTTGTGAGTACCTACTGCATGCCAGCCCCCTGCAGCGCAGCAGGGGTGCCACAGGGAATGAGATCTTGAGGGTCCCTGCCTGAGCGCTGACATTCATCGGGTGGCAGCGAGGGGGAGGGGATGTGAAAGAAAAATGTTGGGACAAAAAGATGAACACACAAGGTTTACAGATTAATGGGAGTGTTCTGATGGCCAGAGGCAGCAGCCAACTAGGGTGGTGGTTTGAGCGGAGACATTAAGGGGCCGGAATGAGCTAGGTCTGGGAAGTTATGGGTGAGGAGCCGACGCTGGCACACAGCCCTTGCAGAGATGGACGTATCTAGCGTGCTTAGAGAAGCGGAAGGGGGTCAGTGTGAGGGGAGCATTGGGAGTAAATGACGAAACAGCCTGAGCCTTGAGGGGTACCTGTTGACATATAACAGGTCAAAGACATGTCGCCTTTATCCCTGGTCCTCGTAGTCATCACTTAGATCTATGATGCAAGCTGTGGATTCTGTAGCGTCATCAGAATGGGTCTCCAGCTGGCTCCTGGCCCCCCTCCTTTCCTAGGAGCTGGGCTCTGTTGTTCCCCACATCTTCCTTTATGGGCATTCCTGCTTGTCTCTTTATGCCAATATCGGCCCAGACCAGGAGCCAGGGAGTTGCTCACTCATCCTCGGCATGGCCTATCCTCAGATTCCTCTTTCCCTGCCCAAGTGCATGTGGCCAGGCTGGGACACAGAGTGCTTTATCGCACCTCTGAGCGCCTCACCTCTCTCATTGTCCTTGGCTCACCATTGGCCCAGCTGTGGTAGGATTGTGTTCATCTAGTTTAACGTGCAGCATGGGTGGGGGAAAGAGCTCAGTGTGGCCAGGCCATCTAAGCGGAAGTCCAGCTCTGCACTGGCTCTAGGATGTCCAACACGTCATTTGCTTTCCCCGTGTATCCGCATGCACATCTCTTTAGGCTTCACCTATTTGTTGCCTTCTACGTAATTCTGCATGCGTTCTCTTTTAATGATGGTGGAAATGTTGTTTCCTGGGCTCAGAGGGGAGTTTCCCAGCACTCTGCTTGCAGGCTGCCTGGCACCTTTCACAGTAAGGTTGCTGTGCAGTTGAGGGTTCCTGGGAGGTTGTTTGCTCAGCCATGCTCAGGGATCATCGAGGGAGGCGGGGCCTCACTTCCTTGGGGAAACAGGAGACTTCCTACCTTACGTGTAAATCAAACACCAGAGCACTTGCCTCGAGCATGGCAGCTGGGGGCAGCTGGGGGCAGCTGGCAGCTGGCAGCTGGGGGCAGCTGAGATTCCCAGAGGAACATGGGTCTGCCCAACAGCCAGCAGGCAGGGAGGAGCCAACAGATGGATGACAAGTGCCGGTCTCACCCCACTGCCAAGGCCCTTCTCTTATTCTTGCTCAGACCCACGATCCGTCACAAGGTGCCAGGAAGGACCATCACACTGGCTCTCACGATTGGGAAGAGCACCTGTTAGACTACCTTGCTGAGGTCATTGGAAGGAGAGGAAGAGACAGCCCTCCCCAAACTCCCTGGACAATGCATCTTGGAAGAAAGGCCTGAAAATCTACTTCTGAAGAAATCGTCGTTGAAAGCCCTATGTACGGAGCACAGTTCTGCTCTGACATGCGTGGGGTTCCCATAGCAACTTCATGCACGAGCCGTGTTCCCGCTTTGCACTGGTTCGCTGATACGACATTCTCAGTGAATCTTTGACACCCTGTCACTCATTATCTTGTGATGTTGGCAGTTTGACCACAGGTGTTGTGTGTGTAATGAAAAAGCAAACAGACAACCCATATCACTTTGGTATGCATATGCTCCAATGTTCATAACCTTGTTTGGACATTTCCTAACGATTGTTAATGGATGAGAAGCTTTGACGTATATCAACAGCCAGGCCCTGGTTGACCTTTGAGAGACTGAGTCTCCTCTGTGTGCTTTTCAAACCTTGTTGTTTTAACCAGATTCAAACCGTGACGAAGAAGGTCCACGTGGCACCTCAGTCAGAAGAGGCCAATGCGACGACCAGCGCTGTCATCTCCCTGCTGAACGAGACGGCGACCGAGGCGCCTGAGCAAACCACTATGGCCGTCAAGAAGGGCCTGGAGTTCAAGAACGGGATGAATGTCTTAGGTAGGCGGTGGGGCTTGGGTTTTCACCAGCTGCTCTGTAGGAGAGCCATTTGGCCGTCTGCTTTCGACAGGACTGAGTCTCAGGAGCCCTATGGGGGCACGTCTGCCTTGTGCGTAGATGCTCCATTAGTGGGAATCAACGGGAAGCGAGGAGGGGACTGAGGGCTGCGTGATTGGGGAGGAGGGGTAAGACCGAAGGAAGGTCATGAAAGGTCACGGCAGCTCGAGGTCTGGGCATGATGGCAAGGCACTTTCTCTTGCTGCCTCATCATTTGTGTATCCTGTGAGGTCATGCCTTGTGGAGCTGCCCTTCTGAGTCACAGTTGTACTGGGTGTGGAGGTACCATCCCTGCTCTCCCAGTCTGCGGCCAGCTGGAGTGTTGTCCAACGGGAAACATCTTGGAGTGTGTGCCTCAAGGAGCCTTAGAGATTAGTTTAGGGTCCCTCAAGGAGCCCTTTCCCCTGGCCTGGCCCTTCCGGGACCTGTCACCCGAGAGGCGTTTTGGACTCTACAGTAGCTAGACCTGCCAGACCACCCGAGGGACTGCAGTGATTACAAGTTCGGCTGCTGATGTCTGAGGTTGGTGGTCTGAACCCAGGAGCCACTTACTCCCTGGGAGCAAGACGTGACAGTCTGCTTCTTGTAAGGATCACAGCAGAGGCAAGTCCACGCCACAGTTCTCCCTGTCCTGTAATTGAACTCACCACCCTCGAGTCTATGCCGACTCACGGGACAGGATAGAACTTCCCCTGGGAATGTCAGAGATTGTAGCTGTTTATGGGAGGAAAAGCCCCAGCTTTTCCCCTCCGAGTGGCTGGTGGTTTCGAACTGCTTACCATGAGAACTGCAGCCCAGTGTGTAACCACTCCACCACCAGCATTGCCCTATGGCATTGGTGTATAAATCGGAACTGACGGCTTTTTGGAGTATGGAGCTCTTCTTGGCTATTTGACCTCCTAGGCAAATAAAGTGGTTCCACTCGCTGAGCCTCATTTCTTAAATGAGGGTGGTTGGCAGCTACCGTGTCGATTGTTGTGATGTGGAAATGTGATTGCACACATAGAGCAAGTCGCGGTTATTGAAAGTGGAGGCAAAGCTGAGGAGCTCCGTTAGAAGACACCACCTACAGAAACTCCCTGTTATGTGGCTCCACCTGGTCCACTATCTCCCTCCGTAGCTCGAGTCCACTCCCCACCATAACCTGCCCTCTAGGCAGTGAGGCTGGTATTCCCAAGTGCCACTGTATGCCAGGAGAAATGGGGGCACTGGATGGAAGAGAGTGCTTCACTCCAGCATTGGGTTGAAAGCCATTTAGTAATGAGGTAGCTAGTGGTGCTACCGCTAGTTGCCTATCTAGAAAATCACATGCCTTTATCTCCGGGCTAGCCAGGGTTGCCAGCTCAAATCTAGAGCACTCGCGCAATGGTGGATTTCATTAGCCAGAGGGTTATTTCCAATGAAACTAGGTCTCCATCAGTCAGAAGTCAACTCAGTGGCAACTGTTTTGGTTTTTTTCTTAGGTCCAAAATATTGCACTAGATAGACTCATCCTTAAAAAGAAGTTATTTATCTAAACCAGATGAACTTGGGGTTCCATGTTTGTAGGTTTTAATAAAACCTGCTAACTGTACTCCTCACCAAGTTAGAAAAGGAGAAGACAGAGGTGGGAGAAGCAAGATGGCTCAGCTGCAGAAATCAGCCCCCCCCCCTTTTTATTTTGCCTGGCAGGAAGCAAGTGGGGTAAAGGAGACTGAGGGAGGGGATAACTGGCTAGGTTGCCAGGCAACTGAAGAGCAATAAGCACTGTTGACCATCAGTAGGAAGTTAGAGGAGGAAGGGAAGAGGGGAAAGTAGGGCAAGTTCCTCAGAGAAACGGGCTTTGCAGATGCCCTCCGCCTCCTCCCAGGGCAGCTCCTCAGTCCATCTGCCCAGATCTCCTTGACCCTCAGGACCTTCCCGACTCCCCCTGCTCTCTTGCGGTAGGTAGGGCGTAGCGCGGAGACCCACGGGCTTCTGCACCTTCTGGAGTAGGTGGAGGTCGTGAGTAAGGGGTAAGGCGTTGGAAAGAATCATCCTTTCCTGGTTGTTCTGAGTCTCCATGTATTCTGGGAAGACACATGACTTTTGTCCATCCTGGGGAGTTTCAACATAGCTCATTCCTCTTTCAATCCCTGTGACCAAGTCTAAAGAGAGCTTTGCCCAAGTGACACCCCCATCCCACCCCCCGGCCCAGTGAGTGCGCTCAGTTAGGCAATGTTTACAGGAAGAACTAACTCAAGTGCCCATGTTGACAAGTTGGGTTTTCATCCAAATGCAGATCCAGACTCTAGAGAGCCAAGGGAAAGTAGACTATTGAGAAATTTCCCACTTACAAATTATGGCTGAAGCGAAGGTTCTTTCTATGGTCTTTCCAAGGACAGAGAGATTGCCTGCAATTTTTTTTTTTTGGACTTTGGAAAGTCCCAAGATTAAAGCATTGCAGTAAGTGAAGCTAAAACCCAGTCTTTCTGCTTTAAGGACCCCCTTTTCGTCTACAAAGTCTTCAGACCCACCTCTGGTTCCTACCCTAATCCAGTCTGCTTGAATTAACGCCTGTGAGAAATGGCTCACTGAAAGCCATGGATCTCTGGTGCTGTAACTATGACCAGTTTCTGCTGACTGGCAAGGGGCTTGGATCACAGTTCCTCAGAGCTTTCCTGCCGTGGAGTAGGACTGACCCTGGAGGCCGGACTGGGGCTGGATTTAGATGGAAGTCCGTGGTGTTCTCCAAAGGGAAAAGAGAGCTGAGAATGGCTAGGAGATAGCAAAATCTGATCGCAAAGTTAATGTTCCTGTGTCATGACCCTGAAAATAATAAATAAATGAAAACAGATCCTAACCATTTTGACCAAGCCAAGAATTAGGGTAGATGAATAAACTATAGGTTAAATAGAACAAACTGGGTTAAAATCGAGGTCTCCCAAATCATTTTGGATTTTTTCAAAATTTATCTCACTGTCTTTTTAAAAAAACATTCTTCTCCCCCTGTGTTTGGCAGGTAAGAATACAACATTAATTTTATATTTGGGCTGTTTCTGGAGTGAATCTTCATCAGCCGTCAGTTAATTGAGGCTAGCACAAAATGAATACGGTTGTAGCCTGGAGTGGACTGTATTGGCTCATTTGTCTGTGCTTTTCCAGTGTAGACAAGCCCTGGTGGCACTGTGGGGTTAGACATTGGTCTGCAAGTTGCAAGACTGGTGGTTCAAATCCACCAGCCACTCTGTAGAAGGAATTTGAGGCTCTCTGTTCCCATAAGGATGTACAGCCTCAAAAAGGTGTGGCCTTGCCCTTCTGTACTGACGCGCAGCCTTGGCAGCCCTGTGGCATAGCTCTACCCTGTCTTGTCGGGTCTCTAGGAGTCCAGAGCAACTTGAGGGCCGTAGATTGACTCACGGCAATTGTTTTGTTACCCTATGGGCTCCAAAGTTGGCATAAGAATGTCCAAGTTCCAACTCGCCTTTCCTCGGTGTATAAACCTCGTCTGTTTGGGCCGTGATTTCTTGAAGTGAGGAAGAGAGAGGAGACTTTTCCGTTGGGAATAGAAGAGAAGTTGTTTTCCTGAAAGAGCTAACACTGCTTGTCATGCAACCTGCTTGTGTGAGAAGGGTGTAGGCAAAGGTGTAGGGTGTATCCCCCATCGCTCCCCAGGGGGAAAGGTGCTTTCATGGTGCGCTTTGCTCTTTCCAGGCCCTAATCCGGAGGGTGGCGTGGGGCGGGAATGCCAGCTGCGTACACGTGGGTGCTGACGAACAAGGGAGAAGAGGCACGTCTGTTGTAACGTGGCGTTCTGTGTGATGTGATTCACCCAACAGGCCTCATAGGGTTTTTCATCGCCTTTGGCGTTGCCATGGGGAAGATGGGCGAGCAGGCCAAGCTGATGGTGGAATTCTTCAACATTTTGAACGAGATCGTGATGAAGTTAGTGATCATGATTATGTGGTAAGTGGACTCGCCCCTGCTCATTGGGATTGTGAGGAAATTTTTTCCCCAGAGGAAAATTTGAACAAAGACTAGGCAACAGGCTCTCTGGAAAGACTTCGAGAAAGGAGTAAGAGCTCTCCCCCCACCCCCCTGCTTTTTTTTGGAGCAGGGAATTTAGGGGGGGTGCAGTGGGGCATCTCACAGAACAGGGATTAGAAAGCTACTACCCCTGTGTGGCCTGTGAGTTGAGGATGGTCTTTTACACGGCTGAGCAAATAATCACCAAGAAGACACGTGAAAATTATCCGCAATGCACATCCCAGTGTCCATAAATAAAGTTGTATCAGAACACCGCCAGGCCCATTTGTTTACATATTAACTGCGATGGCTTTCTCGTGGCGGTGGCAGAGATGGGTGGTGTGGCAAAGGCAGCTCAGCCCACAGAGCCGGCCGTGACCGAACAAGTTGGCCAGCCCCTGGGCTGAAGGAAAGAAGAGATGACTGGGAAGTCTAGTCTGTAATACGGACACTGTGTTAGGCAGGGTTCTCTAGAGAGATAAAACCAAATTCCTGATAATGTAATATATTTATTTATAAAGATAATTAGATATATATTGAGAAGTGAACTGTTAAATCATATACAGATAAATATACAATACAAGAAATAAACAGTTAAATTAGAAAGCACTATAAATGGCTTAGTGAAACTCACGTCCGTGAGAGAAAGTTGAGAGACTAGCAGTCTCTGTCTGATGCCAGATCTTCCTCTATTTTTAGAGAGAGCTAGGCTATAACAGCACAGCAGCCAATCACAAGGCAGGTCACCAACCTCCAGTCCCCAGCTCCAGAGAAGTCTTAAAGGGACCTCAACTTACAGCAACACAGTCCACAGGCTAGGCATCCCACAGGCAGTGTAGCCTTTAAATTGAGGCACAGAACAAGCAAGGCAGCCGCACACTGGTCCGATGATCACAGGCAAGAGACAAGAAAGGCAAGGCTCACCAAGCCATCCATCTCTCAGCCCCTCAGTCAATCCTACCTGCGTTTATCAGCCAGGCTGGCACAATAAACTATCTCAGACACTGAGCAGTAGCAGGAGACAGGAAGCTGAGCCCAGGATACCAAGGAAAGGATGCAGCCCCACGTCTGTGTGTGTGTCAGAACCATGGGGCTCATGGTCTGGTATCCCCGAGAATGGCTCTTAGACCCGGGTTCCTCACATCAAAGAGAAGAGATGTAGTTCCCAGGCCATGAATGGACCAGTGACATGACAGACGATGTGCTGGAACTGGAAGTTGCCCTGAGAAATCTAGTCTCACTCTTGACCCACAGAGAAGAGAAAAACTCAGCTCCCAGCACGCCAAACCTCAGTTCTTTTAGCATCATCCGGACAAGGATGATCACGGCAGTGCCCGCAGACAGTTGTCCTTGTCCTTGCGAAGCCCCAGGACAGGTGCGGAATACCTATGAAACCTGGTCCCCACAACCCTGCTGGGGTGGCGCTGGGATTCTCGTTTTACAGAGCAGGCAACGGAGGTTCATGGAGGTCATTGGCATGCCTGCGATTATATAGAGCTAGGGAGGGAGAGGTGGGATTGGAGTTCACATTGATATCAAAGTCTCGGATACATCTGTGGCTGGAGGGTTCTGTCCGGCTCGTCAGCACAGTACTGACTCTGCTTCCGACCACGTATGTGCAGAGTTAGCTGCTGTGGGACCCAGCAGGCTGACCCAGGAGGGCACGAGTGCCCACTCCTTCAGCGAGGGAGCGGGGCCGCAGTCAGTCATTGAGACCTTCCAGCGAATTTCATTTTCAGACACAAAGCTTCTTATAGACATTTGTTGCAGGTCCCTAGGAGGGTCTTCTTTGAGTGGAACTACAATAACCCAGTCTGAAACCAAGCCACCATGCTGTCTGATTTCCCACAGGAACTCGGAGTTGCTTATTCCGCATTTCTCCATGCTCATCTCTACCCACCTCCTTCCCCAGCTTGCCCCCAGTCCTCTGCTACTCAGGTGCCTGACATTAAACTCCTAGCTTCGTTCTCTCTTCTTCCTTCTCTTGCCCTTGGTCCTCACCTCAAGGGGACCTGGTGGCTCAACAATTAAGCACTTGCCTGCTAACGGTAAGGTTGGCACTTTGAAACTACCCAAGACTCTCAGGCTCCCAGAAAGATTACAGCCTAGGAAACCTGTGAGGCCGCTCTACTCCGTCACACGGGGGTGGGGAGTGGGGGGCGATGGGTTGAAAATCACCTTAGCAGCACCTAACGATAACAACCCCACCTCAGAGGGGTGCAACCCTGTTCTTGGCATCTTTCTTATCTCCACAGGATCAAGCAGAGTGATGTCTTTAGCAAAGTCTAAGACTCCAGGAATGGGTGGGCCAGCGGCAGGCCCCAGGATCAAGGAAATGCCCCTCTTGGTTTTATGAGCCGTGTCTTGTAGACCTGGCGTATTAGTTTCCTAAGACTCCTGTAACAAAGTGCCATCACATAGGCGGCTTATAAGAACAGACATTCATCGTCTTCCTGTTCTGAACGTTAGGAGCCCAAAATTGGAGCACCATCTTCTCCCTGTTGACTCTAGAGTCTTGATTGGTGCCTCTTAAAGTGGATTATACATAGCGATTAAGATTTTTTTGTGTGTAAAAATATGGTCCTTCGGACGGATGAGCCCTATAGGACCAGTGGTGTGAGTGGCAAAACAGGGAGGGTAAAGGGAGAATGGGTAGGAAAGAGGGAACCGATTACATGGAACTGTGTGTGACCTCCTCCCTGGGGGACAGACAACCGAAAAGTGGATGAAGGGAGACGTCGGACAGGGCAAGATATGACAAAATACCCATTTATAAACTATCAAGGGTTCATGCGGGAGGGGGGAGCGGGGAGGGAGGGGAAAAATTAGGACCCAATGTCGGGGGTTTAAATGGAGAGAAAATGTTTTGAGAAACGATGTGCAAATGTGCTTTACACAATTGATGTGTGTATGGATTGGGATAACAGTTGTATGAGCCCCTAATAAAATGTTAAAAAAGAAAAAAAAATATGGTCCTTCTACACATCTGTGTAAGAATATGGTTCTTTAAAAGAAGGGTACGAGGGAAGCGATGTGTTCTGCTATTGCTATTATATCGACTCTCCAGCTTTCTGAATATTTCTTTTGTGAGATGAGTTAAGACCACATAGTGGTACTGTAGAAAGGATTTTAAACGTTCTTCAGAGCCATTCTGAAGGAAGGAGTCTGCCGAGGATGTAGAAATAGTAATACACACAGCAGAATTGGCCTGTTGTTATGAGACAATGGGATCTGTTGGAATTTCTAGGGAGAGTATATCCTTATTCTAACTGTGCAATACCTTTGTGGTGGACAGTGGTTGTGTGAACAAAATATACAAGTCCTATCCGTCACTCATACCAATGTCAGGAGCCCACGCTGGGAAAGGAGCCTTATAGACGATCAAGTGAGGCAGTGGAATAAAGCGTTGCCTCCCTGGTCCTCAGGAGTCGGCATTGGTATGGACCAAAAAGTTTCCAGTAATTGAAGCCAGAATTCAGGGGGAGTTAGCATCCTCTCCCTGGAGATCAAGAGCAATTTCTGGCAACTGTTTCGTTACCCGGTATTGTCACTCGGGACGTACTGGAGGTGTGGACTACACGGGGTGACATTCTCAGAGGGATGACACCAGAATGGCTGTCTATAAAGTTTCTGTGCAATTTTTCCACAGTTTTTTTTTTAACTCACCCCTGAAGTTAGAACAACAAAAACATTTTTGATAAGCCCAGCTTACCTGTGTCAATATAGCGATAAGGCTGAAATTGTGTTAATTTACTTTTTGGACCTTTGAATGTGTTGTGCTTTGAGCCGTCAGTGTTACCTAGTTACAGCGAGGCTTTGAATCACGGGCTTTCAGGTGTGCACGTGCTACGAGCATGCCCCGTTGTGTTCGCTGCTGCCAGCGGTTTTATAATTGCTGATTGGGTTTAGTTTCGTGGGGTTCCAGATACAATGTCGTAGTCATTTGTATTTGTGAACCAGTCACTCTTGAGAATGGAAAAGGTAGGGAAAATTATTTAAAAGGCTTCCAGTCCATTACTAATCCTATTGGAGCTAGTAATGGTGTAATTCAGTGTGGGAAGATCTCACAAAGTTATTTTGTGCTTAGGATTCATATAATCCGAGAAATACTAAAGCTAAGCACTTTACCTTATATTTATCACGTAATATTCTATGATCGAAATGGGTAATAAACATTGCTCAAGAATGAACATTCTGCATGGCCTCAAACGGGCGGAGTTCCAATAACTTACCAAACTGAGCATCACCAACCCTAGTGACCCAAGCAGTCAGGGCGGTACCATGTGACGTGAGATGGCCATTCTACACTCCGCATTTCTTTCATTCTTTAGCTGCCTTGTCTGCGTCAGTATTTGCTGACTATGCAAAAGAGAAATTTCCGGATAAAATAGCCAGCCACTTATCAACTGACATTTAAAAGCCTAAATAATCATGCTTTTTTTACATTCTTTTTTTGAATGTATTTGAAAGATTCGTGATTGTGTTAGTCTGGGTAAACTAGAGAAACAAATCCACAGAAACTCATATATATAAGAGAGAGTAAGTGTACATTAAGAAAGCATCCCAATCCAGTGCTGTCCAAGCCCATAAGGCCAACATTAGCCCATATGTCCTTAGTACTGATCTACAAAGCCGTCCGCCATCTCACAAAACACACGCAATGATGCCGACTGCAGGAGGAAAGCCGAATCAGTGAGCGTGTAAGCATCTCAGCCCTGGCAGGGCTCTTCATGCGGCTACTCCAGCACCCAGGGCTGCATCAGGGTAGGTCCATGTGGCTTCTTCTCAGGGATGTCTTGCAGGAAGTGAGCCTTGCCAGATGAGGCAGGGAACTGACTAAGGCAGCTGCACCCTGGTGCAACCATCAGAAAGCAAGAGACCCAAGAACTAGAAAGGTGAGGCTCACTGAGCCATTTATCTCTCCGCTCTTCAAATAATCT